AGGAGAGGAGAGGAGAGGAGAGGAGAGGAGAGGAGAGGAGAGGAGAGGAGAGGAGAGGAGAGGAGAGGAGAGGAGAGGGAGCACTTCCAGAGAGGACAGTAGCTTCTGAATGCTACTGAAAGGACGGGTGCCCCAGAGGGACAAAACCAGGGGCTAGAAGCTGAGGAGGGAAGGGCTGTTTGCCCCAGAGGGACAAAGGACTCTCTGGATAGAGAGGAGAGGGAGAGGCATGTAGTCTGTAGGCAAATGGCAGTTTAGAAAGGGGAAAGGGAAAACCCTGTTAGGATGAGGTGTGTAATTTTGATTGGACAGGTTAATTAGGGCACCCAAAAGGGGGCTTTTGATTGTTGGGCTTCAGTACTTTGATTGCTGGACCTTGGTGGTCAGCCTCAGGAGGAGGAAGTAACGAAATAAGGGAATAGGCCTTGGTGGTTAGCTTTAGGAATGTAATCTAATGGGGTTTTTTGTTTTTGTTTTTGCAAGGCAGAGAAGGGTAAAAGGCAAAACCTGTCAGTGCCATGTTTGGGCCTGCTAGAGCCCTTCTGGTACCAGGACTGAAAAGCCCCGGCATTCAGAGCAACATAATTAGAAGGGATCTGTGGAGCTGGTGGAGGAGGGCAATGTCATCAATAACTGCATTCAGTCTGGTCTAGAGATGACCGCCCCAGGACCTGTTGGGTTGGGGGACACTCACTATGCCGTGTCCCAGGCCGTGTGCTGGAGCTGACTCCATCTGCCTGTGCTCTCTCAGGTGGCTCTGTGCCCCTCCTCTCTGTACTCAGTACTTTGTTCCCATCTCCTCGGTGCTCAGGACTCCGTGCCCCTCCCCTTGGTACTCAGGACTCTGTGCCCGTCCCCTTGGTACTCAGGCACACGCACTTCTACTCCTGGTCAGCGCCTCCACACCTAACTCACCTCCTAAGAGCTGGAGCCTGGAGGCCATCTTATCAGAACCAGATCTCTGTGTGGATGGTGGCAGTTCTTGAGGCCTCCTTCTACTTCTTCTTTTTTTAAAGATTTATTTATTTATTATGTATACAACATTCTGCCTTGATATATGCCCACACGCCAAAGGAGGGCGCCAGATCTCAGTACTGATGGTTGTGGGCCACCATGTGTTCGCTGGGAATTGAACTCAGGACCTCCGGAAGAGCAGTCAGTGCTCCCAACCTCTGAGCCATCTCTCCAGCCCCTCTCCTTCTACTTCTTGTTGCTCTTCTGGGAAAGTGAGATTACTGGGTGAGCCAGCTCCAGATGCCTACGGGTGACGGGGATTCTGTGGGAGTGGGTCAGGGACTTGGAGGCAAGCCTGGGTAATAAAAGGCACGTTCCTCTTTCTCTCTCCAACCCTCCTTTCCAACAGGCTTCCTCCTGCTGTGCCTTCTGCCGCTAACACCCACCCCTGCCTGTCAATGACTACCCGGTAGGGTCCACAGAGTCCACCCCCTGAGATGTACCTACCACCCACCTCAGTGTTGATTCTGTATCTGCCTCCTCTGCAGAACTGGTCTCCTACAAGGCAGGTCCCACCTCTGGGTCACTCAGTGCCTGGCACGGAGTAGGCTCACACATTCCGTCTGCTGAGGTGGAACATGGCTTTCTCTCTACAGAGTAGAAATCTGGGTGTCTGGGTCAACCATGGTGGCTCATATCTTTAATACCATCACTGGGTAAACTGAGACAGGAGAATTACTGGGAGTTAGGGGCCAGCCTAGGGTTTTAAGTTCTAGGCTTGCCTCAGCTATGTAGTAAGGGCCAGACTAGCTCGGCTACAGAGTAACACTTTATCTAAATTGAAAAAAATCGGATATCCAGAAAGTTGTATGTTCTCTCCCAGATTCTGTCTGTCTTTAGAAGGTTCTCCCAAAACCCAGCCAGGAAACTAAACTGCACGTGTGCTTTAGAAATAAATACAAACCATAACTCATTTAGGAATCCTTATTAGACCTTTATGAAGTCCCAGATTCAACTTAGGAGACCATGACCATGATGATGTCTTCAATCATGGAAGTGACTGGGTGTCACTGTGGCTCTCTGACCTAGAGCTTGGATCAAACCCCATCTTTCTCCTAGGAAAGGCAGTAGACTCTCAGGGTGAGTGTCTAGTAAACCTGGCAGGCAGGAAGGTCATCAAACAGGTCCTTTGAATTCCCAGGAGAGGGAGCACAGGGGTGAGCTGCATGCACCTTCCTTGAACAATACAGAGGCTTTGCCTCTGAGAGGAGGAGAGTCCATCCCAGGACGCATGAAGTAAATCACAACTGTTCCGAGTTAGGTCGCAAGCTCTGAGTCGCATTTTTTTGCTCAAGCTGTTTGTGCTAACCACAGTTTTATTTCTCCCCTCTTTCCCACCAGGGCTTATTTCAAAACCTTTGTCCCACAGTTCCAGGAGGCTGCATTTGCCAATGGAAAGCTCTAGGAAACACCAGTGTTGAGAGGCAGCCAACCAGACTGCTCCGTCCACACGCTGTCAGCACGCAGGCCGCTTCCTGGAAGCCTCTTGGAAAGTCTTCATGGCGGTCTTTTGCTCATACAGCGCCACTGCCTGTCCCACACAGCCCTACTCTGCTGGAGCCCAGACTTGAGCTGGCTGGTAGAACCCCGAATCCTAGCACCCATCATTGCTGGTTGCTCCTCTGTCCTCTTCACATTTCTTAGCCGGAAGAAATAAACTCCTTTCCAATGCAGAAGTCTTCCGGGAAAATAAAATATCATGACCACACACACCCTTCTTTCAAGTCTTTGTCCTAAACGACTTTCAAAGTTTAAATTTTGGTTGAACACCCTTGGCTTCTCCCTGCCCCACCTAAACTAGTGTCAAGTTTGTGTGCGCCCCAACATACACATTTCCAGTTGGAGAAGTCTTCTACTGGAGAAGAGGTGACCGAAAAATTCTGAATCTCTAGGGTTCAATTGCCCACTCCACAGGCCCAGCCCCAGCACTCAGTAATTCTTGGGTCCCAGCACCATGCCGGTCACCAGCTCCTTTGTGGGTTCTAGTCTTCCCTATCTCTCTGGGCCTATGGGAGCTGCTTGAGCTATTGTGGCGCTATGTGCATTATTTATGGGAGACAAAATCTGGGGGTCAAGGGTTGTCACTGGTGGGTGTCTGACATCTCACCTCAGGCTGGCAGCTCTGCAGCCAGGCAGGATCAAAGCTGGGGACACCAGGCATATGGGGCCTGCTTGTCACCCCAGCGCTCAGAATTGAGCAGGAGGATCACAAGTTTGAGGCCAGTCCGGGCTACATAGAAGCCATGGTGGTGGTCTCCTACTCCATCCTCTACCTCCCATCTGTGTCCAGAGGGAAGAATGGTGGCCAGGGGACTCTGGGAAATCCACACAAAGCACAGTGGTGTGCAGGGATCAGCTGGACCTCACAGAGCTTCCCACTGGACCTCTTGACAAGGCCTACATACATGTCCAGCGGTAGTGTTCCTGCCCTGAAGGCAGCTTGCAGTGCACAGAGGGCAAGAGAACCAAGAGCTGAGTGGCTGGCCTGACTCCCTCCGGCTCTGTGAAGCTGTGGTTCCTCCTGCGGGGTACATTCAGTCCTGCTGGGCCCTTCGCCTGTTCCCTTGGCCCTGCAGTGGCTCTTAGAGCCAGGTTTTACCACATGAGCCCAGACAGGAAGGAGCTCTGGGCCCTTTCTTCCCTCTATCCTCCAGAACCAGCAGTGTTCTCAAGAAGCTAGAAAGGAGCTGAAACAGATGTGTGAGCTGGGCTGTCAGCTGGGGAGCTGCCCATCCTCACACAGGGGTGCTGTGCTCACCACCCTTGGGAATTCCCGGGACCGAGTAATCCTGCGTCCACATCTCACTCTGCCGTGAACTGGCTGTATGACTCAAGGCTGTCAGTCCCTTCGTGTCCGTAATACTAGAAGTGGGGCTAAACCAAATACTGGCCTCAGCTCACCAGAATCTCCCAGGGAGCTTTTCAGGAACTCCTGTACTCGTCCCCAGCGTAGGACTGCGAGCAGACTCACATGAACTGGAGTGTGGGCCTCTAGGGTTTAGTGGAACTCCCCGAGGAGTCTGTTGGGTGTTCACACTGGAGTCTCTTTTTGCCGTTCCCTCTCCAGGGCAGTTGTGTGCTGAGCTCCAAGACCTCCCGCTAAGGCAGTGGTTCTCGACTTTCCTAATGCTGCGACCCTTTAACACGGCTCCCCATGCTGTGGTGACCCCCAACCATAAAATTATTTTCATTGCTACTTCATAACTATAATTTTTCTACTGCTATGAATCATAAACATCTGTTTTCCCATGGTCTTAGGTGACCCCTGTGAAAGGGTCATTCAACCCACAATCTTGACCCAAGGGATTACGACCCACACACAGGTCGAAAAACACTGCCTTAAGGCTCCATGACATAGTTGCTTAGGATTATCCTAGCTACCCTGTAACCAAGGAGGGCCATGCATGGGGCTTTACTGGCCACTGAGTGAAGAGCTGATGGAGTCAGGATTCCTTGGGACCTGGCAGGCTTGGCCAGCTCTGGGGTGGGGTGGTATATACAGATAATGACCCTCTGCACTCAAAGAGCAGAGCCCACAGCCCATAGCAGAGCCCGCAGCCCATAGCTACAGTACAATCTGCAGCTGTCCCCATCTTGCCCTTGTTAATCTCTAGGGTTGGCATGCCCAGGCTAGCCAGATGGTTAATGGCATCCTCGCCTCTGACTGAGTGAGGCAGGCCCAGTCTGTCTAGGAAGCCCAGTCTCAGGGCAGGCTCAGGGTAGCTTCCCAGGTAAGCCAGGTGGGGGTCAAGCAGACGAGGAAACAGCATCAGAGGGGTTGAATGTGTCAACCCATCAACACCAGCCAGGCAAGACAGAGCCCAGATCAGAACTCTCCACAGGTGAGGGGATACCTTCCGGGGGACCTTAAACAACCACTCTGGATGATCTGCTGTACCCAGCATGGCTGTGTAGCCAGTCCCCTCCCCTAATCCTTCCCTCCCTAAATCCTCTAGTTCAGTGGTTCTCAACCTTCTTAGTGCTGCGACCCTTTAATACAGTTCCTCATGTTGTGGTGACCCCAACCATAAAGTTATTTCCGTGCTACTTCATAACTGCAATTCTCCTGTTATGAATTGTAATGTAAATCTCTGTTTTCCAGTGGTCTTAGGTGACCCCCCAGAGGGGTCATGACCCACAAGTTGAGAACCACTGCTTTATCCCTTCTCAGAGCCTCCAGGTCAGGCAGAATTGTTTACAGTTGGTTTGGGGAGTGGCCTCTGGATACTCGGGTGATGGTCCATGGCCCTCCTAGCCCCCTCCTTCGGGGGAAAGGGGAGCATCAGCTGTCAACAGCCCATCTGTGATGAGGGAGCAGGCAGAGCTGAAGATGGCGGCAGACACCCATGGGTCTGGGCACCACATTTAGGCTCTTTTATCTTTCCCAGGAAAGAGTGATGTACTATGCATAAGTTTGGGGATAAGAGATGGTGTTCACAAAGACGGTCAGCTTGCTTCCTCCAGGGAGAGTTTGGACTGATCTTAAGGGGAAATGGGGCCAGAGAGATGGCTTGGCGGTAGAAGACACTTGCCACGTGAGCTCGATGGCCTCAGTTCAGCCCTCGGAACCCACACTGAAGGTCGTGGTCTGCATCTGTAACCACGACGCTCCTGTGCTGAGACGGGAGACAGACACAGTGGGACAGGAGGTCTCAAAGACAGCAAAGGAGCAGAAAGAAGACAGAAAAACCTTGCCTCCAAACAAGGTGGAGGGAGAGAACCAGGCCCTAGGGATTTGTCCTCTCACCTCCACACATGCTCTCTGGTAAGGCGCTCTCTCTCTCTCTCTCTCTCTCTCTCTCTCTCTCTCTCTCTCTCTCTCTCTCTCTCACACACACACACACACACACACACACACACACACACACACGAAAAAGAAATCAACCACCATGGCTTCATATGGATTCAGACACGAGGCTGTGAGATTTTTACCCCAGGGGAGTGAGGGTCCTTGCGTGCTTTTACAGTTTGTGGCTTTGCCCATCAGGAAGCATTGTACCTGCTCCCAGAGTACAGCAGAGGGCTAATTAGTGAACGGCTATAAAATGCTTTCGAGAAGCCAAGTGCATACAGGAGAGCACATTATTACTACCTTGTAAATCCCACCTAAATTACTCAGCCCTTGTAATTTAAGGCAGGCCAAACTGCCACCATCTTTGCTGGGCCTGCTCCCAGAAGAGCATCTCAGGTGGGCTTTTGTTGACGGTTGTTGCCTCTTGGAGGGAGGGGGCTGGGAGGGCCATGGGATCCTCACTGGAGTATGCAGAGACCACGCCTACAAACCAGGTGTATGCAATTCTTCCCTAATTGTCACGGTCCTGCAGCCCCTGAGGAAGACCAGAGGGTTTAGGGAGGGAAGGATTAGGGGAGGGGACTTTCCACACAGCCATGAAGGAGTCACCCTGCATGCTAGGTGCAGACCTTCCCTTGTGATCCTCAATAAGTACGCCTGATAAACCCATTGGTTCCCTGGAGTGAACTTTGGTGGCTCACACCCCGGCTTGATCTTAGGAGGAGGGAGTAGACAGTAGACTTTCACACCTCCCCAAGGAAAGGATTTGCAGCAAAAAGTGTGTTTACTAATACTTGAGTTTACTAATACTGTCCCAAAGAAGGAATAATAGACCGTAGTTAGTTCCACTGACTTGGAGTAATGAGGCTTCCAAGGCCCCACTGTCTACACTGAAGCCAACTTCCTGATACAGAACCTGCAAACAGTGTGAGCTTCCAAATGAGAAAGACTTTTACATTCAAATCCTGGGTCTGCCCACTTAGCAGCTGATAAATATCTAAGGACCAACTCACTTGTGATTTAAAGGGGGAAAAAAAAAAAAAAACAGGCAAAAACCAGGGACCCTGAGTACTATGGCCTGCTTGCCAATTCCCAAGTGTAAATAACCCCACCAGAACCAGCTTCACGCCACTCACAAGAAGTCACTAATGCAGAATCAGGAGGCCCTTGGATGGGAGCTCAGTAGGGCAGCCAGCTCCAGTGAGTACTGCTACTTAACTGCGCTTTCTTACCCTCACCTCTGAAAGGGAGTAGACCCTAGTGGGGAAGACACACCAGGTACCAAGTGGGGAGCCTGGCTCTCAGTAGTGTTTGAGAAACAGCAGCTATTATTCCTACAGACCTGAGAAAGGGTTTTCTGGTGTTGATGTTGGCCTTTTTCTAGAAAGTCAGAATACCCCTGTTAAAAAATTCTGCCCGTGAACATGGCCTTTGGAAGGGTGACCCCATCTGGATTACCAGGAAAACAAAATGAGTCATCCTGTGGCTTGAGGAATGAGAGTCCTTTGTGGGAACCCCCCCCCCATATATATTCTGTATATGTCTGTCTGTCTCTCACTTACACAGGCACACAGAGACAGGTCTTGCTTTAACTCGGCAGGATTCGGGGCTGCACCCGAGAAACATGACCCAGTGACCCACTTCTCCCCTGGCCCCTGCTTTCCCACGGCAGAGCAATCAGAGCTCCGCAGTTCACAATCCCTCTGACTCAGTTTCAGTTCCTGCGACTGCAGGCTCTCAAGAACTACCCCTTTGCCGGCACAGTGCACCGTGGCAGCACCGGATTTGCTTCTGGCATGGGATTAGAAATAGAAGCAGCCCTGGGGAACCTGTTCCAGTCCTGAGGACAGGGTCATCCCACAGCCTGACACAGGAAAGTTAGGAACAGTGTCGAATGGTGAGGTAAATGTTGCTATTA